ATAATTATATAATTATGGACATTAATACTAAATATTAATACTAAATAATAATCAATTAATACAATTGCATTTTCTTAAAATACAATTTCTTAATTTAAGTAATAATAATAATAAAATTTACTGCTTATAAAAAAATATCTGGTGTAAATTTTTTGACTATACGCGCGGTTCGAAATTTGTTTAGTGAAAAATAATATTCTACGTAAAAATTATAAATCATAAATTAGTATTACTGTTTTAATGCTGTTCTTATTACAAAAAAACATTACTTGAGAATATTAACACTATTTTTATTGATAAATATCATTTTCTATTAAACAAATTTGTAATCGCGCAGTGAGCAATACCCAGAAAATGATAATAGAATCGACATCGATTCGATATTCATTCCATTATCATTTCTCATTAGGATATGTCCCAACAACGTCCATAAAAAAATCCATTTTACGTCGTATTGAGACGTAACAACGTCCATTGAACATCTAAAGGCGGTACATTGTACGTCCACAAGACGTCTACCAGATGTAATCGGGACATCTTTGATCTGGACGTCTAAAGGATCCATATCCATATGCTGTGTGTGTGTGTGTGTGTGTGTGTGTGTGTGTGTGTATGAGTATTAATTTTAATAAACATTTTATTAATATTAATTTTACTGATCGTCACTTTTTTGCATAATAAATTTTCCAAAGAAGTACTGCATAAGTGATCGCGTGAAAAAAGAATATCCAAGAAGCAAGTATTATCAGAGTTACATAGTATGGAACTGTTGGTATGCCCATCATCATGAGAATCTTATTTGGTGAACGCAAGTAACAATAGATTTCCAAACACGTCAGATTCGGTCGATCAAGATAGATCGCTTGCATTACTCCTTCAAACGCGTATCTGTAATAAAATTTTCGTTTAAAACTGAAAATATAGTGAACTGGAATTAAATAAAATCTCCATACGGAAAGAGAAATAATTCTCAATAAATAGCCATTATAAATTAAAAATATTGTTTATACTGAAAACATCATATTTACAGTAATAAATTTAAATCCTGAAAACTTTTAATTAATCGTTGTAATATTAAATTGTACCTGAAAAAGTTCACATAGGTTAAAGGCTGCAAGTATATCGACATTTCTCCTAATTTTGAAAAGAATCCAGCAAACAACAATAATGGTATACCAATTGCCGGTATGAAAAACATACCTAACTGAAAAGAAATTATACTTAGTTATCTAACATTTTCATATTAAATGTCTAGAGAATCATATGTACAAATGCAAACATAAGATGTCTCAAAGATGTTTTTAAGATATTCTTAAGACATTCTTATGCTCGCATTTTGGATATATCGTTTTCCAGAAATCGAATTAAAGTTTGAATACTACATGCAGTAATAAGTTAATAAATTATTAATTAATTATATTTTTCTCAGATGATTTATTTCTAATAAGAAACAGAAGATAGTAATTATAATAAAGATTAATAATAATTATTTTTTAA